AGAACTTTCTCTGGCCAGCTTTCCCTGGCCTTCACTCCCAGCCTTTGTGAGCACTAGCCGCCTGCCTGTCTGGGAGCTCTCTGGTATTGCGTCTGTTTCTACATCCTGGTGTTAAGTCCCTTCCAGCTTAAGGGTGAGAACACTGGGGTGCTGTGGGATGATGTGTGATGTGGGGGTGGGGGTATAAAGGGGTGGTGGCAAGATCTTCCCAAGGTCTACAGCCTGGAAGGCATCTGTCAAAAGCACTTGTGGCTGCGTGTTACATAAACCCTGGCTTGGCCACCACCTCCCCTGGGTGACTTATCTCCAGGGAGCCTTCCTGGACTCCATCTTCCCCTCTCTGCCCCAGCTCTTATACCCAGATGTCCACAAGCCCTGGCACCTAGGATGCTTGTGAGTTACTGGGACAGAGGGGAGCCAGTCACAGACAGGAGACCTGCCTGTAACCCACAGGGTGAGGCTGCAGCCATATGCCCTGGCCACCAACACCCCAGGGAGGCCAGAACCTGGCACCAAGAGTCCCTATCCACTCCAGAGCTCCCTTCCCCACCTTCTGAGTGGATCCAGTGTACCATGTGCCATGCAGTCTCAGAGGAGTCCTATTTGGGCAGCGAGACTCACAAGGACATAGGTGACAAGAGCCAAGGAGAGCCTCACGCTGTGGGGGAGGTGCCTGCAACAGGGCCTGGTGGGAGCGTCTTCTTCAATGCCGTCTCCCCCACTCCTATCCCCTAGCACCTACTTAGCATACAGCCGAGACTCAGAGAACCCAGATAAGTGAGGTAGATCTTAGCCTAGGTTCTAAAGGATGAATAGGGGTTCATGGAGGAGAAGAAGGGCATGTCTTGAGAAGGGAGGACACAGAGAAAGCAAAGGCCTGAGGGAAGGCAGGAACACTATGTCTCACAGTACTGTGTAAGTCGGTAACAAGGACACATGGGATGGATAGAGGGATTGAGGCTGCTCTGTTCCTGTCTCCTCCAGCCCTTGGTCACATTTCATGCTTCCCTGACCGAGCCTTCCTCTGGGTGCTCTGACAGGATTGTTCACCAAGCTTCCCCCTCCCCTCTGTATCCTGTATCCCCCTCCCCCCACACCCTGCTCCTCCCTCTGACTCCTCCCTCTGCTTGTCCCTGTTCCTCCTCCTGCTCCTGCTCCTGAACCTCCTCCTCCTCCTCCTCCACCTCTTCTTCTTCTTCTTCTTCTTCTTCTTCTTCCTCTCTCTCTCTCTCTCTCTCTCTCTCTCTCTCTCTCTCTCTCTCTCTCTCTCTCTCTCTTTGTTGCTTTTCGAGACAGAGTTTCTCTGTGTAGCCCCTGGCTGTCCTGGAACTCACTCTGTAGACCAGGCTGGCCTCGAACTCAGAAAACCGCCTGCCTCTGCCTCCCAAGTTCTGGGATTAAAGGCATGTACCACCACTGCCAGGCCTTGTCCCTCTTCTTGATGGGAGACAGTTTGACCACCACCACCCTCACCCACTCACTGGGATGAGATCCTTTCTCTCTGGCCTCCATCCTTCATCCTTCTCCTTAACAGGGTAGCATCTCGAAAAAAACGGCCTTAGTTGGGCTGTCCCCCTGTTGGAACCTAGGTGTGATTGGGACTGGGCTCAGGACATATCAGGAATTTGCATATCAGCTGGATGCCCAATTGCCTAGCCCTCTGATAATGGCCTGCTGGGTTTTTTTTGTTTGTTTGTTTGTTTTCTGGTTTGTTTTTTCTAGACAGGGTTTCTCTGTGTAGTTCTGGCTGTCCTGGCACTCACTCTGTAGACCAGGCTGGCCTTGAACTCAGAAATCCGCCTGCCTCTGCCTCCCAAGTGCTGGGATTAAAGGCGTACGCCACCACCGCCAGGCAAGGCCTGCTATTTTTATATGGCCACCTGGGACCACTCTGGAGTGTTGTTACCCATCCCTAACCCTCTGCTCAGGCAGATATTCTGACCATGGGCCTTGGTGACTGTGCTCCATGGACACTTCCTCCCCTTGGAGTCCCCACTGGCTTTCTAGGTGGCAAGTTCAAGTTGTGGTGGGACAGGAGATACATGCAGGTTCTCAGTGGTCAAATTCCTCATGCTGTTTGCAATCGGGGCCACACACCTGTAGAGATTCAGGGCCACAAACTTCCGAGGAGGAACCATCCCCTCCCTTCTGAGGAGGGACAGTGCCAGATCATTGCAGAAGCACCAGAGTCACAAATTTGCATACAGATATCACATCTCCCCAGAGGCCCTGCTCCAAGAGCAGGATCTGTGATGTATATGAGAAGCTCTCGAGGCTGTGAGGCCAGTGGGCCTCCCTCTGAGGTGTGGGCTGCAGTGAGCAGCCAGTACTGCAGGCATGTCAAAGCTCCATGGAGCTTGTCACCTTGGCCTCAAGCTCCCTTCTCTGGAACTGGTGCTGCTTTCCACTCTGCAGAGAACATCAAGGACTTTGTTACCCTCGGGTCAGAGTGACCTGGCAACAGTTAACCCTCACTGCTGGGGCCCTGTGAATATGGCTGAGGCCGGGGCCCTGTAGGATGCTGGGCCTGGACGTGGCTTAGTAAACACAATACTGACTGTGGTGCTAGCTTGGAGAAGCGGGCATGGGGAGGCCTATGCCTGATGTAGGCAGGTGCTGGCTGGACTCTTCAGGGCCCTTTCTTCCTAGTTCCCCTTCATTTACAAGCTGTGGCTTGGCCAAGGGCTCTCGGGAACATTTGTCAGGGTCCTCTGCTGGGGTCAGGGGTGAGGGTTAGAATAGAGCCTTGACATCCTGACGTCAGGGCAGGACCTACCGGTGGATCTGACTGCGGAGACAGAGAACTATGTTTACTGTGGTCTCTCTGCTCAATGTCAGCGTCCACATTTGCTGTGTCACCCCTGACCTGCAGGACTGGCAGCAGGAAACAGAGCCCAGGCCCCAATAGAAAGCATGATTGCATGTCTTCATGCTGGCCTTTTGGTCAGTCAGGTCACCTATGGAACCCTGTACAGGGATCCAGTGCTCTATGAAACCTCCTGGCCCGAGTCAGCTGAGATGGCCATTAGTACTATCTACGTGTCCTGCCTTCCAGGCGGTGCCATGACACCAGCCATCTGTTAGCCTCATCTGGGAGGAGGCTCTTGGCATGTGGAAGACTTAGGAGTAGAAAGCCATACTGGGCTACACAGCATTATCCTGGACCAGCCACAGATGTAATCATCCCAGTGCTGGATGCTGGTCCTCGGCCTTGCAGCACTGGCTAACACTTCCCCTTAGTGCTCTGGGGATGCTGGCTGTAAGCAATAGTGGGGAGCATGGGGTGAAAAGCGAGAGTGTCCTGGGAGCCACTAGGTGGAAGGGCCTCCTCCCTCTGTCTGTGGGACATGATCCCAAGAGTCCAAAGACCAGGCCAAGGTCATACTATGGCTAGGTAAACAAGGCTGGCAGCCAGGTCTTCAGCCCCCAGGTTGAGTTCTTTCCTCTGTAGTACTCAGGATGGGGATGAACTGGCTATGCTTTCTTCTCATCCTTGAGTGATCAAGTCCTGGGATACATCAGCCCCTAGGCTAGGGGTCTAGTGGAATCTGGAATCACAGAGAGACTGGGGCTTCACAGATTTCTGGCTGCTGTCCAAGGTGGCTGAGAGTCAAGGGATAAGTGGCCAGCATGTTGTAGGCACCTCCTGTGTACTGCATCTGGCCTTACAGGTCAGCTGGGGGGAGCTAGCCAAGATGTCTGATTGCTTGGTCTCTGGGAAGGCACGATTCTCACTTAGCAATCAGTTCAGGCTTCCTGCCCCAGAGGCAGTATGGTCACATGAGTCCAGGTCACATGAGACCTAATGCCAGAAGATCCCTGGGGCCTCTGTGAGTACCAGGTTGGCTTCTGCCCCTGTACCCCTTCCCATAGTTGGACCCTACTAGTCTCTTCACCCCAGATCTCTGCCCTTGCCCTCCTTCCAGATCCTAGAGGTTACTTTAGGGCCCAAAGTCAAGACTTTTGCCCAGCCTGGACTGCTTTGTCTCACTGTTTACCTGTTCCCTGTCACCCCTCTGCTGTCTTCTGCCCCATCTTAGCCAGGACACAGGAAGAGTCCAGTCCCTTTCCTACCTCATTGGCCTCTGAGCCTCAGATTTTCATCTTCAGAACAGAGATTATTGTACCACGCCTTAGGACCAGCATGGAGATTAAAGATGTTTGCTCTTACCAGTTCTGAACACAGGGCTCACTCTATTCCGGTTCTCATGTGATTTGAGCCTGGCACTACCCTCCTGGCACCACCTTTGCTAGGTGTGATCCCTGCTTGAGATGTAGGACCACCTGTCTATCAACCTCAGGACTCTGAACCCTCCCCTACAGCCTTCATCTCAACTGTCTAAAACCCAAGTCCTCCTGGCTACACCCTTTCAGTTCTCTCTCTCTCCCTCTCCCTTTCTCTCTTTTCCTTTCTTTCTTTCCCTTTCTCTCTCTTCTTCTCTCTCCTTTTCCCTTTTTCTCTTCCTCTCTCTCTCCCTCTCTTCCTCCTTTTCCCTTTCTCTCCCTCTCTCTACCTTCCTCTTCTCTCTCTCCCCCTCTCCTTTTTTCCCTCCCTCCCTCTCCCTTTTCTATCTCTTCTTCTCTCTCCCTCTTTCCCTCCCTCTCCCTTTTCCCTCCCTCTTTCTCTCTCTCTTCCTCTTCTCTCTCTCCCCCTTTCTCTCCCTCTCCCTTTCTCCCCCTACCAGCTGCCTCTGGTTTTGTGAATGCTGCAAACACCTGCAGAATGGCCCATACGGTGAAATCTCCTCCACGGACCCTTGCCTAGTTTCACACTCTACCCTGGACCTGAAGTCCTTGGTCTCTGCTTCTGTCGTCCCTGTTCCACAGCTATTCTCTATCCCCATCATTGTCACATGGAGAACAGTTGTCCTCATACCTAGGAGGATTTTAGGGGCTATGACTATAAGTAGGCCAGATGTGGAGTCCTTCTGCCCCTCAATCCCTTAACCCAGGGGGCAAACCTAGCTCCCGGCTGTCTTGGTGCCAGCATTTTACTGAAGCCAGTTCTCTCTTTTTTTTATTCAAGAGGTAAAAAGGAGCCTTCTAGAATCTAAGACCATGGCTTCTGGAGAGATGAAATCTCTCTGTGAGTATGAACAATAACTCTCAAACACTGGAACAGGTAAGACAAGCCATGTCTGGAGCACAGGACTCTATGAGAAACCCTCAGCAAAGAGAGGGCACATCCAGGGGCTGAAAAGATGCGGCACAGAGCCTTGCTAGGTAACTACTTTGGGGCTCTACACGCAAAGCTCAGTGGCCTGCCTCATGGGAGTGTTTTAAGCAGCAGAGGTAAGCACTGCAGGTGTCAGCCTCAGCGGGAAGCCAGCTGAAGGAAGCTGACTCCTAGGGATGGAAGGACACAGAAGAATACAGGGAGAGTGACAGCAGCGGATTGCAGAGGCCAGGAGCACCAGTATGGAGCCCAGAGTAGGCAGGCAGGGATGTGGGGAAGGGAGAGGTTAAGATTGTTCCAGGGCCAAGTGTGAAGGATGTAGGACAAACTAAACACCCCGGGGTGCTCTGTATACTGCCTGCCCCACTTTCAGAAGCTAAGGTCTGAATTCCCAGGCAGCCCCCACAGGTTCAAATCAGGAAACGAATAAATAAATTCTTTGTGGCCCTTTCCCGTAAGCTGTTACAATTCTATCTTTGTTCCCCTCATGAGGCAAAGGCTGGAGAAATGGACAGCTTTTCAAATTTCTGTGGAGCCTTAAATAGAAGGTCTAGGGCAGGCTTCGCCCCTACCGTTTACTGGGGCACCAGCTGGTAGAGGGAGAAACTACAAGGATATCTCAGCTGCCTTTTGGGATGGCCTTCATTCAGAAGACATGACTTGCCGTGGAGCGGGAGAAATTGGCAAACGGGCAGCAGGGATGGTCGACATCAAAGCTTCTGTCCGCATCATCCAAAGAAGCTGCCCCTGCTGACCTTGGCTTTGTGGAGTTCAAGGCCTCAAGGCCTTCCTGGATGTGAGGAGGCAGTGGCTCACTGGACTAAGCTCTGGAGAACTGCTGCTCTCAGCCGTCTCCGGTATTCCGGTGTGCACGTGTTCAAACATAAGCATGCGCAGATGCATCCACTCGGATAGGAGCTCAGAGACAAACCTGGATGTGCACATAAAAGCAGGAATACACTCTCACACATACATGTACATGTGTACTTTTTTTTTTCATCTGAAATGTCACCTCTGCCCACGTGTGGGGTTATTCCAAGCCACTGACCTTGAGGAACACAACCCACTGATAGGATGTCTGCCGTGATAAGATCCAAGCTACCTCCTCCCTAGCAGGAGGGGCGTCAGGAATTTGTGCTCTCATCCATATGCCCCAAGACAGAAACCCCTGAAGAAGTGTAGAGTCAGCTGGATGCTCTTAAAAGTTGCTGTTTTCCTTTTGTAGTCTCTGCTTTGTTATAATTTGTTACTATGTGTCCTTGGTCCTTGAGAGCAAATACTTTGAGACGGTAAAAACTGGATTAAATTTTACCTACCTATTCTAGCATCCATGGGTGTTACAATGGCTAAATAGTTTTATCATCATCATCATTATTGAGACACTGTTTCTCTGTGTAGCCCTGGCTGTCCTGGAACTAGCTCTGTAGACCAGGCTGGTCTCGAACTCAGAAATCTGCCTGCCTCTGCCTCCCAGAGGCACGCCTTTAATCCCAGCACTTGGGAGGCAGAGGCAGGCGATTTCTGAGTTCGAGGCCAGCCTGGTCTACAGAGTGAGTTCCAGGACAGTCAGGGCTACACAGAGAAACCCTGTCTCGAAAAACCAAAAACCAAAAAAAAAAAAAAAACCCCACCCCCCCCCCAAATCTAATTCTCAAGGAATTTATAGTCCAGTGAGAAAGACAGCTAAGACACAGACAGCACAGTACATCAACACATAGCAGGACACAGGGAGGAGAGATCAAGGAGGGCTTCCTGGAGGAGCTAAGCCATTAAAGGAAAAGCAGCAGTGAGCACCAGAGACACTCTCTAGAAGGAAAAGTGAGCAGGAAGAAGCACAGCTTAAGCCCAGTGCCTGGAGAGAGGTGGAACAAGGCTGGGCTGATACCCAGAGGTGGGTCACAGGGCTCTGCGCAGAGCTACAGGCTGCCGCAGCATAGGGGTACAGACAGGGAAGGAAGGGGCTGTGCAGCTAGCCAGAGCCTGACAGCCTATGGAATCAGTGAGGTGGGGCATGAGCAGAGAGGGTCATGGGGTGAAGGGAAACTCTTCACGCTTGCCTGTCACCTCTGCCTTCCTGAAGCCCCTCTAAGGGTCTGGAAAACAAACAAGTCCCAAGGAGGTAAAGCCACAAACCAAAGTCACCCTAGAGTTAGCATTCAGCATCAGAACCAAGGAGTGAGGGGAGAGAAAGAGCCTTGGCCAGCAGAGGGGCCTCCCTCCTAGAACCTGCAGCTCTTCCAGACCCAGAGAAAATCCCATGGGGCTCACCCAGTTTAGAGGGTTCTTGGGGACCTTTGGTCCTGCCAGGTCCATTCTAGCTGACCAACATGTTGGGCTTCCTCCCAAAGAAGGCAGGGGTGACCAGGCAAAGAGGTGCAGCTCTGGCCTTCACTTCTCTCAGCCTGGGGACTGGGCACCCCCACCCTGGACTGAGGAGCCAAGCATGCACGGGAATCAGGCTTTGAATCTGCTCTTCTGTCAATGTGCCAGAGCAAGTGCCCCCCGATTTCCTTCTTCCTGCTCCCAGCAGGATCTGTGGCTGTTCAGATCAAAGCAAGAACATGGGACAGTGGCAGGGAGGAATTGGGGTATCCAGCCATGCACAGGGTAGAAGCACAAAGAGATTGTCCCTGCCTCAGGATGGGCTTGGGTGGTGACCTTCAGCTGCCCAGCTCTGGCCTTGCCGGGTTCACTGAAAACGAGTCAAGTCCCCAGGGCCATGGGCTCGGGGTTAATTCTAGGCCCAGGCAAAGCACAGAGGACAAGACACTGAATGTAATTCTCTACAAGGCTCTGTCTGGAAGGTCATGTGGTTGCCTCCTTTCCTCCAGTCAGGGCACACCTCCCTGGCACTCTCCCTCCGGGCCCTGTCACAGTCACACCTCCAGATAGTATGAAGAATCCCAAACTGGCAGGGGCACTGGCAGGGGCAGTCTTGATCAGTCAGCCTAGCCTCTCGTCTTACAGCTAGGGACAGACTGCCTGGAGGCCAAGGTCACAGAGCCCCGGAGGGAGCATGGGGACGTGTGAGCAGGGCCTCCATGCGTCTGGATCAGGCCCACACTTTCAGCCTCTCTACCTCAACTTCCACTGCTGGGAGCAGGTAGAGGAGCAGCCGCAGGAGGCTCTCCTAGAGCCGCCTTCTAGCGCCTTGAGGTTTCAACAGTTGCTACTCTGGGCAGTGAAGCTGGGGAGTTAGCTCTGGGATTGTGACAACCTCCAGCACTGTGGTCAAAATCTCTCCCTAGTGACCACCTTCCTGTATGAGGGAAGCCATGGATCACTCGAACGAGTGCGTCTCAATCTGCAGTTGCCTAGTAGCTGGCCTGTGGAGTCAGTGATATTCACAACTTAAATAAGGGCTCCAGAGACTGGAGGATGGCTCCGTCAGAAGAGTACCCACTGCACTAGCATGAGGGCCTGAATGTGGACCTCCCAATACCATAGTAGTTGGGTATGACTACTTAAGACTGTAACCCCAGTGCTGGGAGCAGGACAAAGTAGAAAAAGAAGGGTCACCGTGAATGCATACACATCTGTATGTGTGTATGTGTGTATGCACATTCACACCACACACACACACACAGATTAAAATTAGAAACCCCACTGCATGTGCGGTAACAGCATACTGGCTAGATTGCTCATCTACTCCTGCTCTGGAAGTGAGAATGTATACATTGTGAGCAAATTCTGTTGAAAGCCTGAAAAAGATGGCAGGATAAAGAGGAACCTAGGCCTCGCTTCCACCGTGACGATCATGGACCATGCTTCTGAACAGTAAGCCAGCCCCAATGAAATGTCTTTCTTTATAAGAGTTGCCGTGATCACGGTGTCTCTTCCCAGCAATCGAAACTTAACTAAGACAGCTTTTCTCAAAAATCCTGCAGAGGACTGTCCTGTCCAGGGAGTCTCAGGAGGGCAGGCAGCTGCAGGCAGGTGGCTAATGCGTAGAGGAAGGGAGATGGTCTGTCCTGACTTTCTTACACACGATTGTTATATCACTGTGCTTTTCCTCCTTGGTGTATGGCAGACAGGGAGAAACAGATTCACTCTTATTCAGTGAAGTATAAGCAAGGGACTGGCGAGATGGCTCAGCAGGAAAACAGCTTGCACCTGACCTTGACCCTCAGAACACACATGTTCCGACTCCCACAGTGTTTCGTCTGCTCTCCACACGTCTGCCATGGCGTGTAACAACCCCACCCCACCCCCCCATAAAAATTTAAAATGTGAAATACGTTTTTATAAGTGTAAGCAAATATAGGGCGATAGGTCAGTCAGTAACACATTATAAACGTGAGGACCGAGTTCAAGCTCCACAGCGTGCGTTAAGAAAAAGAAGAAGAAGAAGAGGAGGAGGAAGAAGAGGAGGAGGAGGAAGAAGAAGCCAGGCACAGTAATGCACCTTGCAATCCCAGTACTGGGGAGGTAGAGACAAGTGGATTCCTGGAACTCACTGGCCATCTGGGCAGCCTGGCCTGCTTGACAAGTTCTAGACCAGTGGGAGACTCGGTCTCAACAGGAAAAATGGATGACAGCTGAAGAACAGTACCCAGGGTTGTCTTTTGGCTTGCACACAACGCTTGCAGCCATACCCACAGGAACACACACACACACACACACACACACACACACAAAAGCACACACTAAATGCAAATATATCTATTCAGGAATCACTTCAGTATGTAAGGTGAAGCAGAGTTCTTCCCCCCCCCCCAACAAACTGCCTGACTTTCCATGGTTGTTTCCTTTCTAATTTTGCTTGCAATTTCCCCCAAATCTGTCTGGGAAATGCTAATGACCTTGGAGTTCAAATCCCCAAAGTCATTTAAGTCACTTCTGTAGGCAGCAGCACACTTGTGGTTGAATTTTAGCACTTGGACCTGCCTGCTTCTGTTAATTGCAACCCCATCCCCCAACCCTTGACGAGACACCTGCTTTTCTTTGTCAATTAGGAGAGCCTTCTGTATCTGCTCACACCTCTGTTTTTGGGGTTGAGACCAGTCTCAGCTCTGGCCAGCTCAGCAGCGGAGTTCCATTGTTCCTTGCGTGCACCTTCTCTGCATACTGACCTCTGCTCCTTCTCCTGGGCCTGGGACAGGCTAGGACAAGCAGACAGGGAAGTCCTTGTGTTTGAGTCTGTGGTTGCCTGGCATCTCTCTTGGCTCCCTATTGCTTGTAAGACCAAGCTCCAGCCCCTTTGCCTACATTCCAAGACTCTCTGTGTCTTGGCAGGATGGTTTTATAGCCATACCCCTGGTCTGTGGGGCTGGCTACAGAGCTGGCTCTTGCTTCCAGGTGGACAGCATGTGGCCAGCACCATGCATCAGCAAGAAAAACCGCAAGTCAGTCTTCTGTGGGAGCCTACTGGATGCCAAGGCCATACAGCTAGTGAAGGCAAGTTCTTCCCCATCTGATGATGGAACAAGCCAGCAAATGACCCAGGAAGCAGTAGACTGAGGGTTTTTTCCCCAAGACACCAAGGAGTCTGTGACGGCAAGTGCCAGAGATAGTAATTAGGCTAGACAGTGCATGGCCAGCCCAGGACATTGTAGCCCAAGATAATGAGGGAGGATCAAGATGTGGTTCATCAGCTGGGCAGGACCCAGAGCCCAGCTTGCTGCCTGTCAGCAGTGTGGTTGCTGGGCAGAAAGATGGAGATCATACTTGGACAGCACCAGCTCAGCCCTCGGCTCCTACTTAGCACTGCCACATAGGTTTAGGGTCGTTTTAGAAGTAAAACTTACTGAGTTCAAGGCCAGCCTGGTCTACGGAGTGGGTTCCAGGACAGCCAGGGCTACACAGAGAAACCCTGTCCTGAAAAACAAAAACAAAACAAAACAAAACAAAGAAGTAAAACATAGCACCAATACTTGACTGAGATGTCAATTCATTCCACACTTCCTCCCAGGGAATGTAGAGATGGGGGCTCCAGTTCACAGGCTCGTCTCCAGCCAGCTAACCACTTTTTACTAAGAGCTAATCTGTCTTTCCCATGGGATTGGGGGGGAGGGGGAGGCTGGCCCCGCGTCCCTCACTGCCCCAGGCCTTTTCCAGAGACATGGAATGCTTCTCACACCATGAGAAATGAATCTACCTGCCCTTCCTAGGGTCCTTCCTGAAGCTCACAGACAGAGGGAAACATGCTTCTCCAATCTGAGCCCTGGGAGGGTGCCCAGTGCCTTGTGCCACAGCCTCGTGTGTGCAAAACTCCTGCAGGCTGTGCCGCCCACACCCTGCTCCTTGGCCTCCTGGAAGATCAGAATCAAGCCCTCGCATAGAATCTTGTATTTCATGGTGCAAGTCTCAACATAAGCCAGTGTGTTGACTTGAAGAATAAATATCACAAATAAAGCCAGGGGAGAGGGCTGGGCATGGAAAGTCCAGAAGCTCATCAAGAAGCCTCCGCAGCTCACCTAGTGTGGATTAGTAGTAAACAGCCATTCGGGCCAGAGGTGGCAGGCGGCAGCAAGTGCCTGGGATTTAACCCACTTGGAGACTCATCGTGGGGTTGTTAGCACTCGGTGAGGCCAAGCCAGAACAAATTCATCCCTTCCTCACGACACCAGCATGTTATATAGGGAATTTTCACTAAGAAAGGGTATTTTCAGCCTGGTGGTGGCGGTGCATACCTTTAATCCCAGCATTTGGGAGGCAGAGGCAGGTGGAGCTCTGAATTTGAGGTTAGTCTGGTCTAGACAGTGAGTTCCAGGACAGCCCAGTGTAGCCCTACACAGAGAAACCCAGTCTCAAAAAACCAAAACAAAACAAAACAAAGGGGTATTTAAAAAAAAAAACAGATTAGAAAAGGTACTTGGGAAGAAAAGACATAGTTCTTTAAATCAACAATAAAGGCTAAAACTCTTCAGTACATCTTTTCCCTCCAGTTTGAGAAAAAATAAAACAAAAGCTTTGTTAAACATGACACATCCCCTTCTAGGGACCCAGGTGTAGGCATAGTGCAATTCCACATTTTGGTAAAACCCAAGGCCACCCAGCTGGTCTAATTTACCACGGCAGCTCTTCCTGAGCTCTGCAAACGTGCTGCAGGGCCCAAAGAGCCTTCTGCGGAGTGCTATGGAGCTTGGGGCCTGCAGGCTGCTCTGGACAAGAGAGACTTCAATAGAGGGAAGAGAGTGGAGGGGAGAGGAGTGGGAGGAGGCACGCAACTATAGCGTCTGCAGGAGGGAGAGTTTCTGATCAGCTATGCTGAATGATAGCCAAATTCGGGCAACCAGAAACTGACAGATAGGGGCGGGGGGAGGGCCCTGAGCTAGCTGCATGGTGTGTGGAAGGAGGGCCTGGAACAGAGAGAGAGCAGCTTCAGCCACGAGATGGATACCAAGAAGCTTCCTGGGGGAGGCTCCTCTTGGCACAACCCTCAGGCTGGTGGTCATCACATTAAGAATATGACTTGTCTTTCAGAGTGGTCATACAAGCCCCTTCCTCGTTCTCTCACAGGGATCCTGGGAAAGACACAACAGCCCTGCTTGCTAGATGGGAAGGCTCCTATAGGAGTCCAATGCCAAAGTTACAGAGTGACTAGTGGGCAGAGCCAGACTCTGCACTAAGGGGACTGAGGTGGTAATGTGAACTTCCAAGCCCCCAGGAGATGCAGAAACTCAGTACCAGAACCTAGAAAGACTGGGTTTTTCCTATTCATTCAGACCCAGAATAGCATTTAATCTATATAGCAGGCACTATAAGAGATTAGCCATCCAATAGAATAACTGTAATAACACAGTATGATAAACATTACTTGAAAATATATGAAATGTTTATTCCATTTAGTATTTTCAGATTGAATTTGACCACGGGTTCTTAAAAACAGAGAAAGCACATTTTGTTTTGTTCTGAAGCTGTGTCTTTTCTGTTATGTAGAAGGCCATAGCTGTCCTGGAACTTGCTTGTGGACCAGGCTAGCCTCAAACTCACAGAAATCCACCTTCCTCTTCCTACCAAATGCTGGGGTCCTACCAAAGGCAGGAGCTACCCCATCTGGCATGCACTTGTAACCGACACATCATGCCTTATCTCTACTATACTGAGCCTTATTCACTCACACCCATGAAGCTTATGGGCCTACCTCTGGTCTATCTCAGAACAAACATCCTTTGGGAATTGAATCTGTCCTCTTGACTCTACACTGAGACCCTCACAGTACTCAGTGGGTCACTCTGCAAGACTGTGCTCTGGATTGGATAAAAGGCACCCATGACCCAGTGCCCAGAGGCATAGCCCACTGGGGATATAGTCACATGTATCCACAAGGAGAGTATCTGTGTACTGTGGGGGGAAGGGGGAGAGAGGCAAAGAGCAGAGTTACTGTAAGCAGGGTGCTTTGACCTTCCAAGATATACAAAGACAGACATCTGACCCACGGTGAGCAAAGGCAGTCTGTAAACTTAGGTTTGGAGACAGGTTAATTATCAAAAAGGGTAGTGTGCCATGAAGCAGCAGTTTCCGAGCAGAAGATTCCAGATCCTGCAGACCTCCAGTGCATTTATAGCTTTGCCCACCACCTCTGCACAGGTGACAGCCGGTATTTGACATAGCTCTCATCCCAACTGTTGTTTGGATGGGATTGTAGCCCAGCTTAAAACCAGGCTTCCCATAGACCTCAGGACAAATGTCAGACCTCCGTACTCCCCCTTGGCCTCCTCAGCTTCCTGGGCAGGGCCCCACCCATCTCTGCCCACTTCATATCACTTCCACAGTCTCCTTCCTTGAGCCTGTCTCTCCTTCTTCCCATGGCTTTTGAATCGTCTGATGCCAACCCCAAGAATCTTAGAGCCAGGGCTGTCCATAGCACCAGGCTCCTATGTCTGCCAGAGCCTGAGGTGTCAAGCCAGCAGTTGCCCTCTGTACCAGATCACAGACTGGATATGAGGTCTGAGAGCATCCTCACTCCCTCCAGGTGGCTTCTGCCCTTGATTTCCTCATCTGTGAAGTAGGGGGTAGGTGGAACTGCCTTCCAGAGCTACTGTGAGTCTCATGTCTATGGTGAACACACTTTGTTTCCTGGAGGGTGAATGCCAGTCCTAGGGTGGCATCCAAGGACATACCAGGGTTGATCTTCACTCAAGTCCACCTCGGGCCACCAGCAAGCAGCTTCCTATTTTTCCATCAGCAAATACTTACTTCTCCTGCCCTGATGGACTTCCACCACCTGATTGAAGGCACGCTTCCAGGAGATCAGAGGCCACTAACCTGGCAGATGACATATGATAGGAGGCTTTGCAGATCAGCAGAGGGCAAGCCAGTGACCCTCAGAGGCCTTGGGAGGTTCCTGGAAAGGACTTACATAAGTTGCAAGGTAAACATAGACGGGCCTGGACCCCAAGCCCATGGGAGAATCTCCAAGCACTGGTGCAGGGCAGGTAGTGGGGCTCCTATGTTTCCCTCACGGAGCTCTGAGCCACTATCTGTATGCTCCCTGCAGGGAAACTCCCCCAGTTACGCCTTCCATCCACCTCTGGCAGGTGGATGCATGCAGCAAGGGCTTTACAGACTGGCATTCTCTCATCAGCCTGCAACCGGGAAATGAGAACGTGGAAGGGATGGGTATGTCTAACCTGTAGCCTGTGGGCTACTTACATCCCAGGATAGACCAACTCATTTGCAGGTGACATCCAGGGTGAACTAAGGCACATGGCCCCAAACTCTCAGTGGTTACTAATGTGCCAACTAGGGGACACAAGAACATTAATGGTGTCTACTCAGCCCAGCACAGATGGTGTCTCTGTTCTATGTGTATCTACCCCCCCAACACCTTAGGAAGCAAAGAGGAAAGATGCAGAGGTGTCCCAGAGCCAGGCGTGCATCCTCTGAGATAGCTTCTCTCTTTGTGGGTGTTGGACAAGCCCTTGCATCTCTCTCCTCTGAATACAGTCTCTCTAACAAAAGTCACTGTCCTTCTGTAAATAGCAGAGGACCATTTGAGAAGGATATGTTCAGGATCTCTAAGGGAGTCTGGATAGAAGAAAGCCTATGTCCCAAAGTGATTCCTCTGGACAGAGAGTCAAAACAAACAAACACACACCCCATGTTTTCTCATCTTGAAACCTTGGGAGCTCCAAGAATCCCAACTGTTATTCTTCTGTGTTCTCTGTGTTCAACAGCTATGATGCTGGCCCCTCTCATTCCGAGCCATTCTCTCCAGGTTATTCCAAACGTCTGGTAGAACTGGGTTAACAGCAGAACACTGAAAAAGAAGGCAACACTCCCGCGTGTGGACTCTGGTCTTTGAAGCTCGGGACCTGCTGTACACCAGGTAACCAAGCACTCTCTTTTCAATGGCTACCCCGGCCACCTGGAACATTAGGGAGAATGTGCTCTGGGGATACAGCTACTTATTGTGAGCAGCCTCCGGCCGTCGTTGCTCACTGTTCTATACAGGCTGCCTAGCACAATGCTGCCACTGGTAGGTCAATGGAATAATGTTGTCTTCGAATATCTCCTGGGCCCTCCAGGAAATCATATAGACAGGTCACTTTGCAAGGTCTTTTAATTTTTCCATGTGTTTATTGTATGTGGGAGAGTGGCTGATGTGTGTGTGTGTGTGTGTGCGTGCATGTAGAGGTCAGAGTACAACTTGCAGGAGTTGGTTCTTCTATCATGTGAGTCCCCAGGATGGAATTCAGGTCATCAGGATTGGCAGCAAGCACCTTTGCCCATTCAACCATCTCCGTGCCGTGGTCTCAGTTTTCCAAGCTTCGAAGCATAATGCAAATAGTAGCTATTTCCCGGCCAGTGTGTGCAAGGAAAAGAGGGTTTGCCAGTAGGCAAGTAGGGAATGTTCTGTGGGTGTCTGGCAGGTGGGACAAAGTTCACCACAGGTATGAGGCTGATTAGCAAGGGTGGGTTTAAGAGGCATTCCTGAATGTGCCTGTAGGGTCTGGTCTCCAGTTCCCAGGGTAAGGAGGAGATGTGCGGTGAAAGTTTCCTTTCCCTAGTAGGCTGTCCTGGGCGCTCATTGCCACAAATAGCATAGTGGCAGGCCCAGCGTGAGGACAGACAGGAGGGCTGGCATAGCACACATTTCGTTCCCAAAGGAGCAGCGTCCTGAGGCGTTGGCACTCCGGGGACCATGTGCATTCCGTGATTGGAGATCCAGAGGCGACGCAATCAAAACGGCTGCTCCCGGTCGCAGCCTGCCCCCTGCGCTGTCAGTTGGCAGAGCCCCAGTGCCTGAGCTGGGCACAGTCAGCCCCTCAACCCCCCCAAGAATGCACAGAGGGGCCGCAGTCGGGGCGGGGCAGAGGCGGAGGGTCGGAGCGGCGGCACCTCCCCGCGACCGTCCTCGATGCCCTTCAGCCTCTGCCTTCCCCGCCCGCCACACCCACCCTGGCACCTCAGCCACCTGTTGCCGCGTGCCCCAGCTCGCTCTTCCTTTCTCCCCATTTTGCATCCTGGGGCTCTGAAGATCAGATCCCTCCTGCCCGCCTGCCACCCTACGATCTCCCGGGACTCGGGGCCCGCGCTCGGAGATCTAGACCAGCTCACCGAGGGCACCCGGCGGGAAGCTCTACCCAGACCCGCAGTGTTGAACTTCAGTCCTGGCCGGTGCGCGGGGCTGGGAGCAGGAGGGCGCCAGCGCCGGGGCGCACCCTTCCCACTGGGCTGTTCTCGCCCGTCGGTTGACCTTGAACAGTCCCTTCACCTAGCCAGCCTCAGTTTACCAACGGATGCCCGGGCCCCGAGGCACTAAATGGGCATCGAGGAGAGCTGCCCCAGGCCTCTTAGGCCACGCCCTCCCCCCCGCAGCAGCCAATCAGACGTACCCGTCCGGGGGGTGTGTCTCGCCCTAAGCCGCGGCCCGGGCCTAGGGGGCGGGGTTTCCGGGGCGGTCACCTCGCCGCGGGACCCCGCAGGGGACGTCCGAGGGGCGGCGCGTGTCGTGGGGGCGCGGCTGGCACGGGCGCGCGTAGGCGGTGCCGGGCCGGGGCCCCGGACGCTGCGGCCCCACGACAGGGGTGACGGGGGGCGGGAGCAGCCGCTCGCGCCCCTCCTGGCGCCGCCTCCCCGGGCGCGCTGGCCCTGCAGACCCGCAGGCGGAGCGCAGCCTTAGGTGCCCAGGGGCTGGAGGGCACGCGCGAGGGCGGGAGCCAGGCGTCCCCTGTCCCGGGACAGTGAGGTGGGTGGACAGGGAGGGGAGGGGCTCGGTGGCGCATGCGCGCGGACCAGGGGCGCGGGTCTGGAGACCCACAGTCACTGGCGGGGCCACACGCTAGGAAGCGCACACGCGTGCGACTTTCGGGGCCCACGGAACTGTCCACTACTTCGAGTCCCCTCGAGTGCCTTGCGCCGGCTCCGAACATTGGTGTTCGCAGCTGTTTTGGGGGCTGGAGGGTTCGTGGTGTCCTGGAACTGGAGCGACGCTGGGTCCTCTGGTTGTCCCCTAGAGGGGAGGGCACACGGGCGGGGACATCGGGGCGCTCCCTTCTCACGGCGTGGTGCATTTGGGCGTAACTCACCGGGAGGCGTTTCCTGAGACCCTCGAGGATCTTAGAGTCGAGGTAACTCGAGGCCCCCGACGGACTGATTCTGGGGTCACTGAGCCTAGACACTGCTGGGGATCTGGAGAAACGCCGGTGGGTTCGCGTCACCAGCAGCTGACCCTCTTTGAACACCAATTTCCTCATTGCTTCTAACCGTAGTGGGACGATGTGGGCAGGCCCCAGCAGTCGGGTAGAAACGACGCCAAAACTACCCTATGTCTCTGTCCTCCAGAGCACAGTGCCACAGCGGGTCCTGTGTGGGGCCAGCTTTAGTCTCCTCTGCGCAGTGACTGCGCGGCTGGCCTGATATGGATAAAGGGAGCTGGGAGTGCCTGCGTGTTAGTCGGGAGGGTGACTGCCCCAATACCCACTGTAATGAGCCTTGAAAAACTGCACCTCTCCTTTTCCCAAACTTTTTTTTTTTAATTTAAGGGAAAGAATGTTAAGATTCTTTCTAAGGAAAATCCACAGTGGTGTATAATGTCTTTGGGGGGCACTCTGCCACTGGGGTGCTCACCCACCCCCAAGCCCAACCCACTCCCTTTCTCTAAAGGAACCAGAAAGGCCCCTCCTCTTCTAGCTCTTCTTGAGGGAGGAGCACAGAACTTTCTTGGGCGACCCTGGGACACTGTAGTCAGTGCACAGGCATCAGGGTCACAATGACTTTCCCAAGGTGGAGAGGTGTTGGGGGGGATCCAGAGAACATATTGTAACCGGTTCCTTCCTTAACGTTCTACAGCCAAGGCTGAAGTTCAAGGCCCTGCCTTCCTTGTGAACTGTGGCTGGTCAAGCTCGGGAACAAGACGTTGTCATCACAGGTAAAGAGGACTAACAGACATCTTCCAGACTGGGATATTGTAAACGCTGTCTTTGGTTGCACTTCAGACTAGCAACAAGGCTTGAGTAGTGGTTATTTTGTGGTGAAATAGTAAATGTCTTTTGGGGGCTTCGGAAGCCAGGTAAACCGGTGGTCCATGTTTCCGGTCTGAGAAAGTGAGTTTGTTTCATGGGAACTTTGTTTCTTTATGGAAGGCTGGTTCGGTGTAGTTTAAAAAGAGGTGGTATTGCGTTAGAAATGGGGTTACTGACTGGCTTATAAACTGGCTCGTAAGACTGTCTCTTGGCTTTCTTTACATTAATTCAATTAAGTAGTTGGTTAGTTTCATCATTAGCCAGGGCAGGGACGGCCCCCAAGAAACACCCAGATGAACATTACTTGGTAACCATATGAAAGTCCAAAGCCAGTGGACCCGGTGGGACATGAAGTGACAGCAGAAAGCAAAGTGTCTCTGTTCAATCTTTTAAACATATATGGAAACACACCAGCCTCATAGAGTTTGTTAGGAGGTCAGGAGCCTACTATGTAGCCCATGCTAGCCTGGAACTTGCTATGTAGCAGAGGCTAGCTAGCCTTGAATTCTTTATATTCCTACCTCAGCCTCCCAAGTACTGAAAGCTGAAGTAGTTCTTTTAAACTTATGTTTGTCAAGCCTATAGACAGAATTCTAAAAAGTATGTGTGTATGTGTGTATGAATGTGTATGTGTATATATGTGTGTATGAGTGTGTATGTGTATATATGTGTCAGTGTATGTATGTGTGTGTATGTGTGTATGTGTGTGTATGTGTGTATGTGTGTGTATGTAAGGGCTGGGAAGAGAATGAAAGAAGAGAAAGCATGTTTCTAATTTGTTTTATTAATTATTAAGTTGAGAAAAATATTTTCATGTGAAAAACAATATATTTTTGCTTCAATTGCCTGTCTAATAACTCACTAGGTTTAGATACAGTATTTAGCCAATGTATATATAGGCACATATAAATATATAGGCATATGTTAGTATATAATTCATTCATATTGTGTAGCTTCCCAGAGTGGGGCCTACTGTGCTATCCATAAACAAGACAGCATGGACTTGCTCTTGAGACTGATTTCCATGCTAGAATTATAAGAAACTTGAAGCCAGGTGGTGGTGGCACACACCTGTAATCTCAGCACTCCGGAGGCAGAGGCAGGTGGATCTCTGAGTCTGAGGCCAGCCTGGTCTACAGAGTGAGTTAGTTCCCATTCAGCCAGGGCTTCACAGAGAAATCTGTCTGTGGGGTGAGGAGGAGAAGAAGAAGAAGGAAGAAAGAGAGAGAGAGAGAGAGAGAGAGAGAGAGAGAGAGAGAGAGAGAGAAACTTGAAGACTGTAACTCAGTTGATGGAGTGCTTGCCTAGGGTGCACAAGGTCCTTGGCTCTTTGATTTTTCAGTCCCTCCTAAGCCAGGTGCGGTATGGTTCGTGCTTATAATCCCAGCACTGGGGAGACAGAGGCAGGAGAGACAAAAAGCATACGGTAAGCTTGAGGCTATGCCAGGCTACACGGAATCTTGTCTCAAAAACAAATCAATAGCCAGGCACAGTGACACACACTTTTAATCATTGTATTCAGGAGGCAGAGGCAGGAGGTTCTCTGTGAGTTCAAGGCCAGCTTGGTCTACACACAGAGTTTTGGGCTGGCCAGTGTTACACAATGAGACCCTCTCTAAATAAATAAATAAATAAATCAAACAAGCAAACCAAAATAGAAACATTTATAACTGTCCTCAGGATGGTTAAAAAAATGAAGAAACTGAGCGTGAGAATGGATGTCTTATCCTTTTGTGACTAAGGACCCCTGTCTCCCTTTTGATGGTATGATTATTTGTGTTTTTATAACATTATTGGAGAAGATTTTACTGAAACATTGGTTAAGATGTGTCTTTGCTTGTTGTCAATAAATTTTCACTACAACAAATCTTCTTCCCCGTTTGCTCACACAGCCTCTGTGTGGGATGATGATGTTCTTGGTGGCAAATGCTTGCTGTAACTTTGTGACATCCCAGCTAAGGGTGTGGCCTGTTGAATGTCTGCTTTGGGTGGTGGAAAGGAGAGGGTCTCTGTTTTATTTCTGATTTTAGCACCATTTTAAAAGATATAGTTTCACTGACATGGTGTGGCATGCCTTTAATCCCAGCACACTAGAGGCATTGGCAGGTGATCTCTGTGAGTTTGAGGGCCTGGTCTACATAGTGAGTTCCAGGCCAACCAGGGCTACATAGAAAGACCCTGTCTCATAAATAAATTAATTACTGAATCAATAAATTAATCAATAAGCTATAGTTTCTGTGAATGGGCTAAACATTTGCCATGTCTGTGGCTTTAGCCTTTTGAATCCACTGAGCAAACTAGAGTGTCTAGGGCCAGCCATGTACTTAGAGAAAATTAGGTACAGAATTTAAATCTGCAACTTGGTGATAAGAGGCATTTTGTGAGGTTTCTGTTTTGGTTGGGTTGCCGAACATCAAGCCTGGGACTGTAAGTTCACAGCATGAGCTGTGCTGAGGTATACCCCCAGCTGCAATTGGGTTTTCAGCAGGAGCTTCCTGAGAGAAGTGCTAGGCTAGCAGAGCTTGTTTCTCCCTCGAGAACATTTCTGTGCCTCGGGCTTCCTGCAGAAAGGAGCTCCATCCCCGTGGCTTTCCACACTGTTGAATGGATGTTCACACTCTTCGAAGGTGTGTGTGTGTGTGTGTGTGTGTGTGTGTGTTTTGCCTCTGCAGCCCTTGGTGGCTAAGCATCAAGAGGTGATTACGGTGTGAACACTTCACATGGTGAAGCCCTTGCTCCTGGGCAGAGTCTTCCTAGTTGAGCTGAGCTGGTTTGGGAAATGCATAGTGTGAAGGCACGCTGGAAAGTTTGCACTGAAGAAGCACCTGGATACAGCAAGAAAGGTGTGATGTCATTTTGTTAATGACATTTGGGTACCCGGCTTCTCAGCTGGTACCTGCTAGGCCACAGACTTCTGTCCAACTCCCTAAACTGGCACTTCTCAACAGAAAGTGCGCTCCTTCTCTGGATCACCTTTGAGGGGTTGTGGAGCTGAGAAGCAGTGGCTGAGAACACTGAACCCATCCAAGTAGCTGTCAGGGCAGCTTAGGGCTCTGGGCCACCTGTGTGTCTCACCTACCCCAACCCAATTTGTTGCTGCCAAGGCTTTTTGAGTTCTCCGAGAGTTTGAGAAAGAGACTCCCTCACTACCCTCCCATAATCTCCCATGAGATTTCAGTTCAAAACCCAGGTAAAGAAGAAGGCTCTACCAGTAAGATCACAATTCTCACAAGTGATTCCTGTTAGCTTAGAACGTGAATGTGACCCCAGGACCCGGTTGGTGACAGACAAGTCTTGCCATGTGTTCTCACTCTGGTTCAACCCCAGGGTGTCCAATGTATGGCCAGTAGGCCAAGTGTTTACCAGGATAGCTATGAGTGTGACCCAGTGCATATGTAGATGATATAATTGTGCAATGTCAAAAGGTCACACGCCCATTAGACTACACCATACTGGAGGGAACTGTGTACTGGCTGACTTTATATTAACTTGACACAAGCTAGAGTCATCAGAGAGGAAGTCATCAGTTAAGGAAATGCTTCCATGAGATCCAGCTGTAAGACATTTTCTCTATTAGTGATCAGTAGAGGAGGGCCCAGCCCATTGTGGGTGGTGCCATCCCTGGGCTGGTAGTCCCAGGTTTTATAAGAAAGAAACCTGAGCAAGCCAGTAAGCAGTACCCCCCCACCCCCATGGCCTCTGCATCAGCTCCTGCTTCTAGGATCCCACCCTGTTTGAGTCCTGCGCCTAACTTCCTTCAGCAATGAACAGCGATGTGTGTAAGATAAATAAACCCTTTCTTCCCCATCTTGCCTTTTGGTCGTGGTGTTTCGTGGTAGCAATAGAAACCCTGACTAAGACACCTACTAAAAGGCAGCCTCCTGCAGCTTACTGGAGCTCATGTCTAGGTATTGCCTGGCTCTATGGCTTCTGGAGAGTCAGCCTCCCTCACTGAGTCTGGATTACTGAGAGCCAGTGTAAGGACATGGTGGGTTGGGCTGGTGGGTTGGGATCTGTTCACTGTTGATCTGCTGGCCCCAAAGGTTTCATAGGAACTTGAAGAATCTCACTGGATATGTAAATGGTTGGCAGAATTGATATCAGCAAGAACTCACTGCCATGTGGGTGTCCCTTGTGTGTGGGAGTGTGCTTATGTGGAAAGGCTGGCATCTCAGAGCCAACAGATGCTGTGCCCTCGTCTCCACTGTGGGGCACATCTTCACAGTTGACAGCTCCCTCATGGCCAGGATGTAGTTCCCACGGCAGCTGGGTTAAAATGTGATGGTTGCAGTCAAAATAGTGTGTTTGTAATTGTCACTAGATTTGAGAGCTAGTATGTATGAAATAGACTTAGAAAACCTGAAGAATGCTTTTTTTTTAGTTTTTTTTTTTTTTTTTTAGTTTTTCAAGACAGGGTTTCTCTGTGTAGCCCTGGCTGTCCTGGAACTCACTCTGTAGACCAGGCTGGCCTCAAACTCAGAAATCTGCCTGCCTCTGCCTCCCAAGTGCTGGGATTAAAGGCGTGCGCCACCACCGCCCAGCTGCTAATTTTTTTTTTAAATTTCAAGACCATTTCAAATGCCAAACACGTGTCTGAAAAAGAAATGTGGGTAAAGTTTTGTGAGTTGGGACATGTATGGATGTATGTGTATTATTATTATTATTTACTATGTATGAATGTTTTGCCTACATGTATGTCTGTGCATCACATACATGCCTAGTGTCCATGGAGGCCAGAAGAGGGCATTGGATATCCTGGATCTTCAGTTACAGATATTTGTGAGCTGCCATGTGGGTGTTGGATTCGAACCCAGGTCCTCTGGAAGAGCAGTCAGTGTTTTAACCACCAAACATTTCCTAAGTCCTGAAGTATTTGCATTTAATGGGCCAAGGGTCTTGCATGGGA